GCATTCATTAATATCTGTAGAAGTCAGAATGAAGATAAATGGGACCACTTAAAAGAGGTTGATTGAATTTTGCTAAAATGTAGCATGTTTTGTCACAATTTATTGACCATATCAATTTTTATTCAATTTATAATGRAGAGAGTAAAAGAAAAATCCTAGTATCTAGGATTTTATTTATTGCCGCTGGCATTACAGCGTTTATTGTCAACCACTGTACCTTCACATGTGATGCCATCTTTTCCWATGCGATACCCTCTCTTRCAATAACACTTAGCACCAGTTGATGTCTGACGGCAAAGCTGTGAACACTTTTTTTGYTTGCAGTCATTATCCACTGCAAGTAACAGACATGAAAWTATCAATGAYATTGTAAACTTTGAAGTCTGGTTGTCAGAACAGTAAAAACATTGGGAGGTTAGGGGGGCTATAAGGCTTGAAAATTAACAAAAAAAACATTGTTGTGTTTACATGTACATGAGATAGCCRAACTCTTTTGTTTTCTCTTTCCTGGATGATTTAAAACAAAAGCGTTTGGCACTATTATACCTAAATGCCAAATTAGATGACACAATTTTTTCGTACAATCATTGCATGCATCCTTGGTAAGTCATCCTTACAACATGCCTACAACTGTGTCTGTTGATGGTATGGATTTAAAACAATTTCTTAATAGCCCTATGACAGTTGAAGCCATGTTGTAAGGATGATTATGCAGGTTGCATGCAATGGTTGTAGGCAAAAGTTGAATAATCTAATTTGGCTTTTCAAACTTTTTTTTTGAGGTAGGAAGAAATAATGACATTAACCATGTGAAAAGGCAAAGTAAATTTCCACTATTTGCAGGTTACAACTACTTGAAAATACTTTGAACACAAATAAATGTCACACTTACAACAGTGAGGCCCTTCATCTGAATTATCTCCRCAGTCATTCTGACCATTGCACACTTGACTTAGTTTTATGCACTTTGTGCTTCCAATGCACTTCCATGTGTTRGGACTGCAAGTAGCTGGGAATTTTCAGAACTAAATATTATTGACATAAAACTAAACAAAATGGTAAATCWATTGGGCTGGTAATGGGAAACATAAAATGAAGAGAGCAAGAAGAGCAAGAGAAAGGGAGAAACGATGAAAGGTGGAGATGAGGTGTGTAGGAATAAAATAAGTTGGGAAACCTTATGGAAGGGTGCTTACCACAGCCCTTCTCGTCACTGCCATCATTGCAGTCATCAGATCCATCACATCGCCATAGGTTACTGATACATTGGCCATTTAGACAAGAGAATTCTGTAAGTTTGTTACAAGCTTTTTGAGCTAAAGATGAAATAAACTTCAATTAATTCTTGAACTTAATTAATACTCTGTGTGAAATTGGTTTTTGAGGGCTTAGAAATTGGGTCAGACCAAAAGTTGGACCTTTTTAATTAAAGTACAAAGACTGGTTGTACAGAAAAGGATTAGCACCATCCAACAGATAAATCATTATCCAGCAGATAAAATTCATACAAAATGTATGGAATAGATGACCTTAACCAGCAGTATCACCCTTCGTTCAAAAGGCCCTGATAAAACATTGAATGGATGCTTATCAAATAATCTGTAGTGTAGCATTCTATGTGTTCATGATTTAAAAATCATGAACTTGAAACTCATCACGAGTAGATGAGCTTGAAGTTGGTGCTTTAAGGTGGGAGGTGAGAAGAGCACAGCACAAGCACCATGTGGTGACCATGGYAACCCTAACCTACAGAAYGGAACTCAATGGTTACCATGGCAACCAGCAGTGTGGAACAGATTACCACTGCAAACCAGGGATGTTGAACAGAATACAATGGTTACCATGACATCCCTGTCCCTATAACTGCAGTGTATCGATCATCAATACGTAATACTCACAGCAGTTTGCTCTCTCATCTGAATTATCTCCACAATCATTTTCACCATCACAGAGCCATTTCTTCAAGACACAGAAACCATTTGAACACCTGAATTCATGGGATWGACAAGGACGAGCTGACATTTAAAAGCAAAATGATTAATAATGGGCGCTGTTATACATAAATATTTACATTATGTTGAAAAGTTTTACTCAATTTGGCATGGATAAAAATGAATGAGAAAGTTGAAGAATACTATTATTTATCATTTGTCATTTATCTAAATGTAATTCATGTTAATTAGTGTAGGAGTTTCATAAGTTGTTAACAAGATTCACGTCCGTGTCGTATTGTAATTCCCATACAACACGGCTGCTCATGTTGTAAACTATTCATTCATATCAATGAAGCTTCTATGTGTACATGAGATCCTTCTATGTTATGTAAATCACTGACCCTGTATGTTATAACCATAATGTCATACATGACAAATCCTACTTTGATGACGAGTTAAAAAATTAATAAAAACTATAACCATTTTATCTTAGTTGATAACTTACTGCTATTGCAATGCTTTTCATCATAAAAATCACCACAATCGTTATATCCATCACAAACCCAGCTAGATTTGATGCATTTGCTTCCATTGGCACAGCGGAAGTCATTACTTGCACATGTATGATTGTCTAAAAAAAGAAAATAACAATATTCATGACATGTAAGACAACATTTAGCATGCATGGTCAAAGAGTCTTGCGTTGTATTGATGGCATAGAAAACATTGGGCAGAAAAAAGATCACAAGTATAAGCTCAGTATAATGAGTATATAGCAGGCACAGCCAAAAAGTACTTTTTTTTTTTTTTTTTTTTTT